GTAGTTAACTAACCTGACCTGTCTGTGGTTAACTAACCTGACCTGTCTGTAGTTAACTAACCTGACCTGTCTGTGGTTAACTAACCTGACCTGTCTGTGGTTAACTAACCTGACCTGTCTGTGATTAACTAACCTGATCTCTTTGTGGTTAACTAACCTGACCTGTCTGTGGTTAACTAACCTGACCTGTCTGTAGTTAACGAACCTGACCTGTCTGTGGTTAACTAACCTGACCTGTCTGTGGTTAACTAACCTGACCTGTCTGTGGTTAACTAACCTGACCTGTCTGTAGTTAACGAACCTGACCTGTCTGTGGTTAACTAACCTGACCTGTCTGTGGTTAACTAACCTGACCTGTCTGTGTTTAACTAACCTGACCTGTCAGTGGTTAACTAAACTGACCTGTCTGTAGTTAACTAACCTGACCTGTCTGGTAACAGCCACAACAGGAGAGGTGATAGGTAGAGAACAGGCAGTTGCTCTGAAGGAAACACATGGAGTGAATCCATTCATCTCTCTTTCCATGGTGTAGTGTTGGAACGGTCGGTGTAGGTACAGGTCGGTACAGGTCGGTACAGGTTGGTACGGGTCGGACTGGTTGGTTTTCCACTGATGTTCTAGTCTGGTTCCAATGGGTGTGTTTTGGGCGGTTGGTGGAGGTGATTTTTAGGTTTTTTGTAAGAAAGTTAAATGGCAAAATGAGAGATGGAAACACATTTGATGAATARCTTTTGAAATTTTAAAAATTGGCAAAAATTTCAAATTAAAGTTGGATGGAATCATGACTAATGTCACTGCTACAATTGGGGGGAAAATGGCTCCTTGAGTTGTTCTTGTAAAGGCAGCTCAGACCCAACCAGTGACTCCACCCMCTAGCCAATCAGTGACGAACAGTGTTCTGACGTCACATTTTGGTGTCAGCTGGGACCACTTGGAACCACAACGAAGTAGGTACTAAAAAAGGGATGATTCCATGGATCTGGCCTAATGGAAATAACTTGGAACCGTACCGAACCGTACCGACACTACACTAAGTGGCACTAGTGGAAAAGGGGCTTAYGGGTAACAAGGAGTCTAAACGTGGGTTAGGAGTTGATTCAGGAACAATGATTTGCTCTTCCTTCAACCAGTGAGTCTCTAATGAGAGCCCAGCCTTTTCTCTGTGGGTGCTTTGACAGACTGAAGGCCATTGTCTCTGTGTGTGTGTCCATGTGTGTGTCCATRTGTGTGTCCATGTGACCGGAGGTGTGGTGCAGCACATGACTACTCACAGCCAGGTAGAGCATGGTGTACAGGGAAAAGGAGGCGTGTCCTGAGAAGAAGGATTTCCTGCAGAAAGAGTCCTGTTTTAATCCACAGTTTTWAAATCTTTAACACAGAAACACCATGTTTGTGTGTTGATGATGTCACTAACCTGGCTTCCTGAACATCACTGTCCTCACCGGAACAGGTGTAGTTGGTGATGTAACCCAGTGAGCAGTTGATGGTGGAGAAATCGGGCCTACACACGTCTAAGAAGTGGGGTCTCAGGCGACCCACCGACACCTTGGCGATGTCTGTGAATGACTGGCTGACGGCACAACCGAACAGGAACACACCTATCTGTGGAGTGACACAAAACAACGCACACACTCATCTTTTGTTCAGCCTACTGTCTTCTACTGYTTCTGCAGCAGGTTTCCATGCAGAGCAGCTCATGGCAGCAGACTTCCTCTAAATAAGTTGGCTATCAAAGAGCTTTACTGGTGGACAAACTGATGACTGTGGAGATGACTGAGACACTGTGAAAATATAGTTAATTATTTGAATATAAAAATCACCAAAACCAGTCTGTTTGATATCTGATGTTGTTGTTTTATTTATTGTTGTTTTTGTTTTTTTTACTTTTTGTAAATATAGAGATTATTGAAGCTTGAGTTTGTTTGGAAATAAGGGGAAGATTAAAATATTTTTTCTTCACTCTGCACCCTTTTCATTTATGGCATGATTTGCTTTTGTTGTTTTGTCTCTATTTTTATTTTACTATATATAGATGGTTTTCTTTATGAATAAAATACAATAATAAATATAACTCAGTTCTCCTTTTTTCCTTTTCCAAATAAAAGTTTGTAACTATTCATTTAATTCTATTGTTTTGATAAAGAAATAGATGTAGAGACATCTTCCTTTGTAGGGGTGGGGAGTAGCAAGTTATCCATTAATGAATTGATTGACTAGCGATTCATTGATAAGCAGCCTTTTTGTTAAAAACATGTTTTTCTCTTGTTTCAAGGATCTTTCTATAACATGAAAGACTAATTTTTAATAATTTGTTGAAAGGAAGCAGAGATTTATTGTGCCAGCTGTATTAAATAATGACTGAAAACAGAAAAAACTGTATATTATATATATTATTTTATTATATATTATATATGATATTTGCTCTGATACTTTACTTTTTACTACAGTTTGCTCTGTCTGTGTCTAAAACGATAAAAAGATGTTTTGATCTCTAAGTGGGTCTAACTGAACTCCAGGTGTTCTCTGTGGCTGCAACCTGCTGATCTCTGGATAAACATAAACATGTTCCTCTGCTCTCCAGAGCTCAGAACTGAGGCTTGGTTCTGTTGAACCAGCAGCCTGGTTCTGGAGGTGATTGACAAATAACTTTGGGCCTCAATTAGAAAAAAGATGGGGAGTGTTATATATTTTTATCTGAAGAGAGGGAGGAAACTGTCATCATGATGACAATCAAGCTAATTAACATAAATTAGAATCAAATAAGAACTATTGTTTGCAGGGAATAATGCACAGTGTATGAAGAACATATTTTTGTATATAAGGTAGATTGTGCTGTTACTCTTTAAAGAACAACACAAAGAACTTTGTTGTCTTTCTTTTTAACTTTGCAGATTTAGGAAATGTTTCAGGATTGTTGTGAAAAAGTCATGAGCACACCACGGGTGTGGTCTATAAAGTGGAGGTTTGTTTAAACTGTCTGTATATCTATAGTGCACACATGTAGGGTTGTGCAGAGCTGAGCAGAGGCTATTTCTGCTTTAGGTTCATGTGTCTATATTACTAGTTTTKTGACTGCTTTCTTTACTTTATTCTTAGTAGATGCAAAGTAAAGGAGTGGGGCAAACATGTTCTTGAAACCRGTTTTTAAAATAGTGGATCTCTTTCATGTAACTATAAAGATGGCTGATTGATTACAGACCTGCTTGTAGAAAGCTGAGACGTAAGGATTCCCAACAAATGACTTTGTTCCCTCCTGTAGCTGGTGAATCCTGTAGCATTCTCCAATCACAATCTAAAGAAAACATTTGTTTACATGAACAGGAAACGCATCACTAAAWGGTTTTATAATGTTTCTAAAGCTCACACTGGTACATTTACATGCACAACACAACCATGCAGTACTACAACACATATCTGAGTATTTCATGCAACAAATCAACATTGGGCTGGGGAGTAAGGGTTAGTGGAAATAATGGCAAACAGTATGAGAATGAGTGAGAGTGATAGACACACAAACACACAATAAACATGGCCTGCCTTTCCATTAGGCAGTCTGAAGGGGATTAAGATATGCTGCTGCTCCACTTAACGCTATGATAAGTGTAAGTCACCAACTTGACTTTGGTAGAAGGATAATTAACTGAAATCTATCTGCTCAAACATTTAGGTGAAGTGTGCTAACCATGACCTCTGTGTCAGGTGGTTCTGAGTCGAGCTGAAAGATCCAAACTACTCTTAACCAGGTAGGAACCAAAGGCAAACCTCAAGGTACAGAGATGTCAATCAAACATGGGATATGTCGAAGCAGCAGCTTGCTCTCTTTATATGGGTTTTTAATCTTTGTGGTGTATTCTTCATGCCAAGCCTTTTACAATAATATTTTACCTGCTATTCCTCTGAGCTGTACCAGGGGATTCTGATGTTATCAGTCCATGAAATGGACGTTATTAGGCGTTATCAGTCCCATACAATGGTTTCAGAGGGTCCCTACTGTGCCTTCTAGGCTTCAGACTGTCCTGACAGTGACCCCTAGTGGGTTAATATATCAATGGCATTGAATGTGTAAATAACCAAAACATATTGTAATAAGTTTTTTGTCCATGCCTGGTGGTGATCCTTGCGCTCACTGTCTGTGTCGGTCTCAAACCCTGGTCTCCTAATGTCTGGTCCGATGCTCTCCCCATTGCCCTATTGAAAGGCCGCAATATACAACCGACGGAGTGCAGTGTTTTTAGTGCTAACCATGTCATTTTCTCTAAAATTAACCTTAGTGGTTTTATGTCTCATATTAACCAGATAGTGGTTTTATGCCTCATTTTAACCAGATARTGGTTTTATGCCTCATATTAACCAGATAGTGGTTTTATGCCTCATATTAACCAGATGACAATCAGAAGCAGCCCTTCTATGGGACAGGGAACCTGCTAACCGGCACAGGCGGGATATTCTGAAGCCATTCTAGGGGACCGATAACGCCTAATAACATCCATTTCATGGTTGATAACATCCAAAGCGGGTGGCTGTACACCACGCCCTGTTCAGGTGCACACACCTGCAGCTTTCAGCCTCTTTCACATGCAGTCGTCCCATTAATCCTCTAATTACTGTGGTTCTGGTTTGAAACTACACAACTCTTCACACAGCTTTAAATTTTCTGGTGATCATAGTTTATCTTTTCATATAGTTCATGGCTCCAACTTGTTTCATGCTTGTTTCACAAACTAACTTCCTGCAGAATGTGCTGTTTGTATTTGTAATTGTGTCAAACCCAATTATGCCTTAGCCTATTTCACATAAATAATATATTTTAGAACACTGCATATTGTATCAGCTAAATTCATCTCATCAACAGTGTAGTAAATTCATCTGATTGTGCTGTTTATTGGCAGTACGATGGCTCAGTGGTTAGCACTGATGCCTCACAGCAAGAAGGTCCTGGGTTTGATCCCCGGTTTGGACCATTCTGTGCAGAATTTGCATGCTCTCTTCAGGCTTGCGTGGGTTTTCTCTGGGTCCTCTGGTTTCCTCCACATCACACAAACATACAAAAGGTTGCCTCCTGTGATCTCAGTGTGATTTGACTGGATAAATAATCAATCAATTCATTTTGTGTGGCACATTTAAGACCTTTCATGTAAGTTTTGTTTTTGCTAAAACGATGTCAGGAGTTTCCAAAAACTTCCACTTTTTGGTTTCAAACTTTTCAGTGTAAGAGCCTTTATTCACAAAGCTGTTAGCATTTCTGCTGTGTGTGTACTTTATAACAGCTGTTTTTAAAAATTCTCTGCATCACTGTGTGTGATCCCACGTGCACAGTACAGACGGCTGCAGCCAATAGTTTTTCTGCACCACTAGAGGAAGTTATGGCTGATAGCAGAGAGCTGTTTGTGATGTTCACTCTGTTTTTCTGTTGGAAGCTGTTTTTATGAGCAGACATGGATATAACCAACAACTGTGATTGATTTGTGTTTAAAATACAAGCAGCTTACTTAGAATCAGCATGTATACTTGTTCATATATGTATGTATTTTCATGTGTGCCATTGTGTGTAGGTGTTGGGGCTTGTTAAGGGAGCAGTGGTGGTAGACGCCACTAATAGAAGGCAGCTGTAAAAAACACGCCAACTTTGCCCACACGTGAGGAAACTACCCAACATTAGAACAGGCTCCTGCTTTCAATAAGCAGAAGAGCTGAGCTGGTACAGTGTGTGTATGTATGTATTTAAATATATATATAAATGTGTGTGTGTGTGTCTGCCCACCAAGCTGAAGCAAGGGGACGGCATCTTAGTCTGGTAACAGGAGGGAGCTGTGACATGCTGAGTCTGGAGGCTATAAAGATCACCTACCCTTTCCATGTGGCAATAATTGAAATACACCCACTCAGAGTCATTACAGAATACTTCCAGCAGGCCTGAAATCCCCTTTAATCTGCTCAAACAACCCTTTTCAATAGTTTTTCTAAGATTCCTGTAACAGAAGTTAAAAAGTTTTGAAGCTGAGAGAGACTTCAGGCTACCAGGTAGGTGCCACATCACAGTAAACTCACTGCCTCTCACTAATCTGTTTGGCCAAAAAATACATGGAAAATAATGGATGTCTGAAAGGAGAAAAGGAAACGTATAACAGAGAGATYGGTATGGAATGAGGAGACGTATAGAGCACCTTTATGGGGGAAAAAGTGATGACAAACAGCTAAAACCTCTAAGGAAGTGTCGATGAAAGATGTCCAAGAGTTTAAAAATATGGAAGCAGCAAAAAAGGGAGGTGTGAGCGTCGACTTACAGAGAAGATGCCAATAAGAATGCCAACGCCACAAAGCACGGCATCACTAATGGTGTCTCCCTCCTTTCGGGGGAAGTGGATGGACTGGTCCGAACAGTAAAACCCGCGCTGATGTGGCTTTATGGTGCTAGTCTCAATGATCAGGAAAGGCAGGCTAGCTACAAAAGACATAAAGAGAGAGGACAGGAACAGGGAGACAAGAGAGAAACGAACCGGGTCAGTGACACGGACATGAACAGGAGAAAACACGAGCAGCACAGGGAGCATGCTKGCACCAGGGGATCATATCAGAAAAAGGGTTGGGCTTGAGGATGTCGAGGGTGGACAACCTGTAACGGAGATGAGGTTGTCCAGAGTAGATGCAACTGTTGGTTTTAAAAAGCCCATCCGAAAGGTTTCCTCTGCTTTTTGAATCAATGTCACCACAGACGCAACAATTGCCAAGTAGGGGTCTCTGCAGAACGTGTTGTCCTGTGGGCAGATATGGCTTCCTCCAGCCTCCTCAAACCCTACCGTCAATCCGACCAATCACGTCTCGGGCCATCTCCACCCACATCGAAACCTCCGCCAATCAGGAACAGGGACGTCTCCGCACAAAGAACAAAACCTACTGCAGAGACCCCTTACTCACAATTGCAGTTTTCCAGTCCCAATCCAATTTCCAATTTTTGTTAACCTTTCAAGTTCTGATTTTTGCTTTCTCTATTTCTTTCTCTAATTAAAAAAATGTGGTATTGTTGTTGCAATAAATTATTGAGACAAACAACTTCTTCAAAACAGCACCAGGTTACATGGATCTCTGTCTCGGCCACTGGAAAACAGCAAACAGTGTCATCTGGGTTATTAGGTTTGTACAAAAAAGACCCAACAGAAAAAATCATTGGTTTAGATACCTGAATGAATCTTACAAAGGTCCAATTCCAAACACCAGCCAATTATCACTTTAACCTCAAGCCCTCCCTGTTTCTGCCTTCATTGTTTCCACAGTTGAACACTCTTTGCGGGGATGGGGCTCGGGGGGCTGACTTACAGACACCACGGGTAGTGTCAAGCCAACAGAAGTGAGCACTGAAGAGGGCACAGTGCTGCTCTTGTAGGGGTAGTTGAGGCTGGAGTCAGTGCAGTAAAAACCTCTCTGGTATGGATGAACAGAGGAACGATGCAGAACCAGGCTTGGCAGCATAGCTACACACACACACACACACACACACACACACACACACACACAC